TAGACCGCGACTCCATCTCAATCGCTCGACTTCATGAATCTAATAATAATAATAATAATTTAATTATTAATTAATTAATGCTCGAATGATATACATAACTATTTTCATCATTGATTGACGGAGTCTTTAACACAATTACACTATACTGTAAAAAAAAAATGTTCCATGTATGTCCTCAAGGAGTTTCTAGCTAAATATATATTTTAAACTCTGAAATCGAGTTCACTGACTTCATACTAACTTAAGAATTATAGGATCTTATCGATACACTTCTAATATAATTTTATAAAATCTCGATACGTTTAACTTATGTCCAACTCAGAATTGAATCTCAATTGACTCCAAACTCCTATTATATATCTTGTTATATATTTATTTTAAATTATCACTTCGTCACTTTTTAAGATTTTTTTATCATAAAATTAATATATTTTTGTTGAATATCAAAATGACATTCCGAATCTTAAAGATGTTAGAAAAAATTATTCTAAAATATTGTATTAATAATTATTTACTTTTAATCTCTCATTTAATCACTTGTATTATGGAATCTATATCATATACATGCACAACTTAATTTGTCAAGCCTCGTAATTGCATTGAAAAATATTTAATTTACTATTCTAACGCCACACTCGTGGAGAGTTAGAGAGAGTTGTGGTCTCCCATAAGAAACTACAGATGAATCGTGTTCGTGTTTGACATAACCACGTGGATTACGATTCAAAACAAATATTAAATAGGATGTGGACCATTGAACTCGAGCTTCATCATAAATCGGCACCTTGTGCAAGCTTAAATGTCTTCTTGGAAGGATAGAATTGATGGTACGAGAATTGCATAAAGTAAGTATATTTATTGTAATACTCCTGATTAGTTCCACGTCGAAAGTAGATAAAATTAAAATTAATTAAGATTAACTTATAACGATCTAACGAGTATATTATTATAAATTTCAATTTAAGTATTTTGATTAGTAATTTAGATCAAACAAAGTTGATAGGTTAATTAGCTTATCAGGTCCGGATCGTGACATTTGGTATCAGAATCGCGCCACCATCAGGGTCGTTATTATTAGCGTTGTTTAATGATCGGTTGCCATGGAGTTGCAGGATGGCCATTAATGTTGCCACAACTACTACCTTACATCGATGGCAATGCTTGCGTTTAGTCATTCATAGTTAAATGGTCTCGGAATCCATTGCCACAACCACTAGGGATGGACACATACCTGCCTTATAAATTTTGTTTGTGCACGTCTGTCTATTCTTCTGCACCTACAATTTTTAGATTTTGGTTAGATGGTGGCATCCAAATTAATTGCCACGACGAGTGTGAGATGGATGGACACATAACCAACGTATAGATGTTACTTGTTCTTCTTCTTCTTATTGGATAGTCTTGTAATGTGTCATGGCAACCGCAAGTGAATGGAATAGAATAGCAAAGTATTTGTTTGTTCATATCAAATATAACCTTTCACTGTCCCATAGCAATTGCATGAGATGGAAAAGAGAGAAAGTCGATCGATCGACGATGGATTGATGTCGTACAAGACGACGAGCCAATCGGAAATTTTATTTTAATTAGAGAAAAGACACTGTATTAATTGTCGCGAGTCTTCTCACCTAATACCCGAATTAACTGTGGCAACTACGATGTATGGTTATGAAGTGCACGATAAGCCATAGGACTTGGTAATGTAATTAATGTAACAACAACTAAATTTGGATCCACGACTCATAAAATTATAGTTGATATGGTCATTAATTTTAGACTCCACGTATAAACATCAATCGATGCCTATTGAATGTGTTATGATGATGGAAAGCCTATGGGACATACTACTCCTTTGTGACAACTAAAGAAAATATTTCATCATTAAATCGATGATTTTAATGTTTAGGTTATATAAAATACTTTCTTCATTCTAAGTTTACTAAATAAATATCAAAATTTTACAAATATTTTACGACCACTAACTTAATCACTATAAAGGTTTTATCAGAGACACTCTCGATATAATATTTATAGAAACGTAACGAATAAAATATGAGATATGAATATTTTTTAATATGATTATTCATGAATAATTTTGCATTATTTCTCGATCGAAACTAATTCGAAGTACTATAGAAAACTTCATATTGATTGTTTAACTAATCAACCCAATGTTGCACTTGCTTCCTCGAGAGCTATCATTTCAGCCACAACCACCCTCGACTTATTCTAAGGTACTCCACCGACAAGATGAGTCCTACCTTACATGAACAATTACAAATATATATATATATATATATATATATATATATATATATATTAATGACATAAAACACAAGATTTGGTAAGCAGTCAAGTGGCTCTCAAAATCAATCATCTTTCACTTAATAAATATAAAAATAATCTTTTGTCACATTTAGGATGCAAATGATCTTATGTATTCTCTTATTTTCAACCACTTTACAAGGAAGCATCAAAGAATGGTATTCTCTTTTTTTTTCTCATATTAATAATATCTTTTAGAGAGTTGTTTTAAGAATTCGGGTTCCACCTCATTAGTAGTCAATAAGCAAGAAGTCTATAGCATCTCCATTCATTCATTCATTCATTCAACAAGGATCAGCCCATTCAGAACTTGAAGTCATCACAATTCCTTTAATCGATAGTCAAGAAACCCTTGATGATGTTCTCTAACCTACTATAAAGGGTGAATTGACATGTAGCAATTGAATCCCTGTATTGGTGAAAAAGTAAGAGAATAGTAAGAAGCAGTTTAGAGATGAATAATATTCATGATTTTGATCATTGTTATCTCGTTAAGCGGAGTTGTCACTTGGCAGGAATGTAAGCTAAGGGTGGCATCTCAGATAGATCCACTCACTTGAATTGACAATAGCCTTACCTCTTGGGATCATTATTACTACCTCTTTAAAAATAATGATTTCTTACCAATTTTTTCAAGTCAGTTATATTTTCAAAATCATCACATCCTTCACGATGATTGCATTCTATAGAGAGTCGTTTTAGATCTTATGTTCTCAAGATGGTTACACCTTTAGATTAGTTATTCTGATAAGAGAAATGGTCTTCGTAAAGTTGATTATACCTTTAAGTCTTCTACACCCTCAAGTTGATTCATTTGCTACAGGATGACATCTTATTCCAATATCAAAAAGATGATCCACTCACTTAAATTAACAACAGTGTTACCTCTTTGGATCATTATCACTATCTCTTTAGAAATAATAATTTATTATTATTATTTTTTTAAGTTGGTCATATTTTCAAAACCATCACATGATGATTGCATCATGAAGAGAGTCATCTTTAAATCTTATCTTTAAATCTTATGTTCTCAAGATGGTTACATCTTAAAATTGGTTATTCTTATAAGAGAAATGATTTTTGTGACGTAGATTATACCTTTAAGTCTTATACATCTTCAAATTAGTTGTTTTCTTGAGTTAGCACACATTGACCTTTATGACAATTTGAAGGGAGGGCTAATAGCTGGCTTCTCATATCAGACCTCATTAGATTATGTGAGCTCCTCTCATGCTATATGTGGCTCGAACTCACCAAGTTTGGGGAATTCCTCTCATCCCATATGAATTGAACCCAAGACTTTCTTTTTACAAATAAAGCCCTTTACAATCATATCATCCTCACATATATTAAAATTACTAATAAAATTTACATGAGGCAATATATCTCTTTTATACAAGATTCTTTTGCTTGGGTTTAAGAAACATCTTAAGTTTTTGATATGCTAATGAGTCCCTTTTGCATATGATATGTTCATCCATAAAAAGAGTATCGTAAACATTCAATGCAACCAATATATTCCCTTTACAAGGATCTCACTCTCTTAAAAAGAACATATGAAATGTACCATATGATCAAAACAACTCCTTTGTAATCTCACTCTCTAAAAAAGAGCATATGAAATGTTCGATATGATCAAAACAACTCTTTTGTAATGCCTCTTCCTAAGATAGAAAATATTTGAAGCACTCAACGTAACTAACATGTCCCCATTTTGTGCATGATGCATCGCCTAAACAAAAATAGATCTGAAGTGACCAACATACTTCTTTACATATAATGTATCTGCTTAGGGCAAAAAAACCTCTGAAATACCATGCATACCAAAGCATCTCTTTTGTGTTTATTACATCCATCCTATACGAAAAAAAAAAGAAAAATTCAAAACGTTTGACACAACCAACACGTCTATTTTTCACATGATATATTCATCGATATCTAGAGAACCGAACCTAACTAGCCACAAGGTATTCCTCTTATATATGATGTATCTATCTAGAACAAAAAAATTAATAATAATAACAGTTAAATGCAAGTAGTAACCCATTGGGATTCAACACTGGAGTCTAGTCATCATCAACACCTACTAAACATGCTACATCAACTTTCGATGTCATAAAAAAGCAAAGTTATATCAGTATGGCACCTAAAAGAAGGCTTTCCTCGTTAGATTGATAGTTGCAAAACTAATGTCATATAAACGTGCTTCTCTTAGGGGTGAAATGCCAGTCAAACACAAAGCTAGCTGGTTCTCCATCAAAACAGTCCAGTTCACTGAAGAAGGACGTAATCAATCAATCAAGAGGTTCTTCGTCTAGAATGAACAAACATGCACTGATTTGATTATCAAGGAGGTTTTGTTGGATAACAAAGAAAGTAAGATAATCTAAGATGGATACATTCTCTGCCCTCAAATTCAAGTGAAACACAAGAACTTTTACCCTCGTCCAATCCAACTTCTTTTACTCTTCAAAATACAATAATTATATCACCTTGGATTGATCATCAAAATTGACCATTTCAATAGTATATACACTCAATTGGTAAAATAAAGGAATTAGTAGAGTCCAACAACTGTAAATATTGCCCACTTATTGTGCTCACCAATTCATGCCCATCCATTACAGTCGCTTCCTTATTAACTCGATGCACATGGATTTCCAAGGAACTTATCAAACAAGTATTAATATCTTGTAAACTCATGGGAAGAAAGAGATGGTGGCATGGGCGTTGGATGCCCAGCAACGGGATTTCAATACACTTATTGCTCGAGTTTACTAGAATCTGGACGTGCCAAAAGCCGAAGCAAAATTGGCAGTAGTAAATCAAGGTATATAACCATACTCTCAACAAATTTCACCAAAATTTGGATGACCACAGGCTGTAAGAAATAAAATTTCCTCATCTAAAACAGGTCAAATCCAACCTCTGGAGTGGATAAAATGACTAATGAACAAAGCAGATCACCGCATGTTTCCCTCTCGCAGAACATCAATCATGTCATATATTCTCTGTTCAGCCTTGGACCGGACCTGCATCAGTGTAATGAGTATAATGTAACACACACTTGATTCAGATGGGGGGTGCAATATCAAGAAAAGGAAAAAGAAAGTAGATCAGACCTTCTTGAAAAGGAAAACAGCAGCATCAACACTTCCCTCGGCATAGATTGAGCGGCCACAGACATTATGCTGGAACTCAAAAGAAACCCTGCTCCAGAAATCGATGTATCATTTCATGCCAAATCAAGTTGGAGAAGTAATGAGTTACAGTGTGAAGGATTACGTCTCATCAGGTGATGTGAGATGGTACAAATGAAATGCATGACCAGAGAGGTGCTCTTCTGGGACACCCACCATCTCAAGTTGCTTCTTAGGGTCTCTGATCTGCTTAATCTGTTCAACATAAAGCATGTTTGATACAGGTCAACTAGATACATTGATTTGCTGTCACGTGATGAAAATAGTTGACTGCAAATCTTCATGAATCATTTCCATAAATCTTGGAAAGAGATGGTTGAAAACATTTTTGTCCACAAGTTGAAGTGCTAAAAGGTTGGACTTTTCAACAAAGATAAAAAGTACATTCAAGATTAGTGCTCAAATACAGAAGCAAAGCTTAATTTTGAGTTGGAACCAGCAGCTAGGTGCCTTTACCAAAGCTCGAGTAAACATGGTATCAATTACTAGATTAATGCTTCTCCACCTACTAACTAAAAGAGTCATCTATAACTCACCTGTTTCATATCAAATGAGACACCAAGCTTCTGAAAGCATGAAATGACAGCTTTTGCTGTGCCAGAAGTATCCAGTTTGCTTGCTTGATGCGACTCCATCACCTGTAGAAACGCTAGTTTTAAGAAACTTTGTTAAGGTTCTAGCACAATGACTTCTGCATCATATCTTGATAAAATTCACAAGTAATTCAGAATCACAAAATGTCATGAACTGGTTTAAACTCTCAACATTATTTCCACTGGAGCTCTCAAAAATTAACTGACAAAATCATAAATATCTGCAATCTGTAGCCATATTTGCCATCACCTTTACCATGGTTGAATGATTGCAATCCATAGTGCTAATAGCAATTCCAGAAACATGAAAGATATACATATTGAAATACAGTAGTTTCTTTGTATTGATCAATATTCTGAGACAAAGAAAGTGTTATCAATATTCATCTTCAATGAAAATCCAATTATTGAATAATATAACAACAATAAGAGAAAAATATTTTATCACCAAGCTTCCACTTTTTAGTAACTTCTTCACTGCATAGTGGATATTACTGGAAGCAAGAGCAAAAGCAGTTTGGCGGATGTGAGACAAGGACCGGAGACCATGATTTAATGAAATGAAGTGTTTTATCGTTGTCAAGGAACATGCCACTATTCTTTTCTCATTTGTAATAATCTAGAATTCACCATTGGGTTATGATTAAGAATTTCCACAAGCATGGCTTCTATTGTTTTGACAAGAATGGGTCAATTACCATTACCAAAGATAGCAATCATCAACATGACGGTCAACCTTCTTAATGGGAAGTGGATGAAAAAAGAAAATTCTTAGTTCGCTACTTTGCATGTTGCATTCATCTTTGGTAATGGTAATTGACCCATTCTTGTCAAAACTTTGCATGTTGCATTCATCTGCTACTGAACAATCTTTGTTGATGCACTGCATTGTATTCTTCTCTTTAACCATCTTACAACTAGGATAAAAGTCTGTCATAACTTTCTTGCAAGTTTCCCAGTTAGAACGATAAAGTAGAATAACCAATTAGTCATAATTATTTTGTTAATAAATTTCTTAAATCTTCCAAGTTAAACAAAGAATCCTTTTTTTAATCTCAGTTCATTTTTACTTCTTAAGAACTGAAGTGTGACAATTTTCATATACCTCCAATTTATAGCCTGAAAATGCTCCAGGAAACTGATCAGCCATGATCTCCATCGCTGCAATAAATGCTACAACCTAATAAAAGAAAGATGATTTGCATGAGTTAACTACATTTAGGATTTTATATAACACCACATATCTCTTGGTTTGACTAATTTAGTGAGGCACCTGTTTCCCCATTTGTGGAGAGATTACTGCATAGACATTTGCATCCTGGACAGTCTTATACAACATGTGCCTATCCCCACCGGTTGTCCCCATTACAAACGGCAAACCAAGTTTGCAGTAAAGTTCAGCATTACCTGCATTATCAAAGAACGGATTTATTAACACAAAAATCACTCCACTAACTCATAAAGGGAACCATCATGCAAATCATGAAACGAGAACCATAAAGAAGATTTTCAAGTGAAAAAATTAGTATTGTCAATCACATTGTATCCAATATCAAGCATGTTTCTAACACTGAACAATATTTTACTTGCATCACTCCAAATGCCGATGTAATAACACATACATAGTGAAGCTTAAGACTATGAGCTTCAGTGCTGTAAAGGGGAAAGGTGTTATTAAATTCATTGTTTCCTGTATGTTCCTTTAGCTGCCTGTAAAAGTGTGTAACAACTAAAGAAGGAACAAGACTACAAAAACGAAAAAAGTATGAAATATATACCATTCACAGCATCAGGAACTGTATAATCCACCACGACAACATTGGGGAACTCATGGGAGACAGAAGAAAGAACACTTTCTCTTTCAGATGGACCATGTATCTGAATCTCTGTATTGCCTACTTTTAAAGTTCTACCAGGCTTTTCTAAACTACTGAATGACACAGGAACTAACTGAAGGCCAGCAGAAAGTGCTGTTTCAGCAACTGCTTTCCCCATTTTTCCAGTGCATCCATTCACCTGCACAAAAACAACATACAAGAAAAAGCCTCTTAATCACCAGAACTAGGCATTTTCATTCATAGTATACATGATTTCTTGGGCCAATGCTTATGCCTAAAATTCAAAAGTAACTAGCATCTGTCAAAATAGACCAAAATTCATGATTCATTTGCACACATCAATTAGACGATTAAGCAGACTAGCAAACTAGCACGTACGTGATCTTTGTTCGAAAGACTAAAATTTGAAAATAACAAATATTTTGGAGGAATTCCATTGTAGATACCTCTCAATGAAGCAAGTCCAACATAGTTATTGGATATGGAAGAGAGGAAAAATGTCCTGGAGAAAAAAAGTCCTAAGGATTTTGTTTAGGCCATATTATATGGGTCTACTGACATGGCACCTAACAAGTTGACCCTGTAAACATATAGGAGAGCCAACAATGGAATACTCTGGCAACCTCAGGTATGACACAGGGTTTAATTTTATTGCAACCTTACCATTCCATTATTATTTTTTAATTGCATGGTGTCATACCACTATAGTTCAAAAATTATAGTTTTACAGACAAGGGTCTCGATAAAAACATACCAGCATATCACAAGACTTTGCAAAAGGGTCTATACAGATCAAACACAATAAATTCCTAGTAATGTGTGTTCAACATACCTTTGGATTACAAGGAGCCCAATGACAACACCATGCTGACATGATATAAGATAGTTGACACAAACCTATACATCAAGCATGTGCTATCCTAGCTATAGTTAGTTTGCTGAAACAAGTTGCACTCAACCTATACGCTTGTCTTGAAACCTATAATATTTTCATGCAACAGAAACAACATGAACCAAAGAATTCATTCTAAGGAATCAGCATTCTAACATCTAATGAAGCATGATGACTACAAAAATGCTTGCCACATCTCTGTCATACATTCTAGATTTTCAATGTGCCATGTACTTTTAAAAAAAAAAGGAATGCATACATATCTCATCCATGTTCATGCATGTTAAGGTACAGTATATTATGTAGGACATGTATCATTTACTTAAGCACATGAACATGTTGAATATTTGCAATATGCAATATTTGCTCAAACTTAGATTACAGATGAAGATAAGCATTATACATGGGGTTCCCTACAAGATTTCGTTTCTTCTAGGCTGCATAAGGATATTGAAATCTACGAGTATAGAAACAAGTAATACGCGAAAAAAATTGGAATTGAAATGATGACTCCATTCATACAACACTCTAAAGCATCCATCTAGTCCCAACTAATCAGTAATGCAAAACTCCTTATGCAAAAATTAAATTACAAGTGATAGCGATGCAAAATTTTCAATCCAAAAGTTAACTGAAACAAACACTGAATGATAACCTCACAAACTATCAGAACATTCAGTGTCAAAAAAAAAAAATTGTCCCTAAATTAGTTCTGAAGGCACTGGCAATTCGGATGATACAAAACCAAATCGTGTTCCTTTGGTAGAATTGACCCATCATGCAGAAAATCCCCACTTTTGCCTAACTACACCGCAATAGCTCCAAAAGCAATCGCCTTTAAAACCCTAAACCCCAAACCCCGCGACGGGGACTGACGAACAAGAAAAAAAGCTGTCCACATACCAGTATGGGAAAACAAAGGTTCGGAGTCGAGACATCGGCCGGTTTTTGCGGCGACTCGCTCATGAGGGCACCGACGACAACGGAAGAGCGACGCCGCGGGCTCCTCGGAGCCAAGAACAAGCGGTGGGGCGGGCGGTTTGCAAGAGGAGATACGGCAGCCTGGGGTAGCAACGAAAACATCTCCAGGGAGTCCGTCCGCCACGAAGGAGGTTCTGGCCCGAGCGGCTTCTACCGAGAGATGGAGCGTGTCGGCCCCCAAGATCGGGCATACAAAAACCGGCCACTTCCGGAGGCAGAAGACATGCGATTTGGGCTTAGGTTTCGGTCGGGCAGCCCAACATTGGACAAATCAAGGGCCCGAATTGTTTGTGTCCGGTAAAACTCTGGTGCCTTCAAATCAATTTCTTGATCGATGATATTGATATCTTAATATGCACAACAAATGTTCTGATAGTTTATTAGGCTTAATATGCCACATCACAACAATTGTATTGATATCTTTATATGCACAACATCAATATGATACCCCTTCCACCGTTACAGAGAAATCTATAGAGTAACACAAATATAAACAAATAGAAGGTGATAGATACCCCTTCCACCATTACAGAGAAATCTATATAAACAAAGACAAGGTTGCTTCTTCACCGCCATTCATAACTGCTATAGCAAAATTGTACAAGCAAAACGCATTGACGAAGGTTGAGAGCCACCACTCGCTCCGCTGCCAGCGATTCGACGAAGGCTGCGACCAGGGCTCTCTCACTTGACCTGTGCTTTCCCTACAACCTTTGAGGTCCTGGATGAAGAGATTGCCACTTGACTTGTGCTTTTCTTTAGACCTGGCATTGCAATACGAGTAACGATGTTTGAGAACACATTGTTGTTGATCTCTCTCTGCTGCGTCATTATGGGATGGAAATAGTTAGAGCAATCCAGAGGCGAAGGCTACTTACTTGGGGACTTCAACATGTCTCTTGATCTTGTTCGGGACGCTGGCACTTGGGCGGTCCTCGAAGACGTTGCCTTCGCCGCCACTCGCGTCGGAGTTTTAGGCCTGCGTTTACGATGTATTGTATATCCTTTAAAGTAAATGGAGGTTATGAGAAGGATAATTCTGTAGAACTCACGCTTTGGTGGTTTCTGATGATTTGGCTTGTTCCGGGAAGAGATTATACTCGACGAGGCTGCCGATCGAACCATCGGTTTCGGTTCCCATGGAGAGGCCACCATCCGATATGTCACTCAATCGTTCCTCGGAGTCTGCGTCACCGAAACCCAAGAGCTCAGGGTCCGCAGAACTCTGCTCTGCTGCTTCTCCACTGAGCTTTGGATGGCTGTGCTCCTTCTGCTGCCTTCTGTCATCTGCGGACTGGTGAGAACCAGATTCAGAAACCTCGCCACTGTGCTCTGACCAGTTCTCATGATCTGCACCCACCTTATTAGCAGCCATTGCCCTTCCTACAGATGACATCCGTTCTTGACCTACCACTGAATTCGTGGAGGATGAATGCTTCAGTGGGCTGTTACTATGTTTTGATCTGATGTCTTTCGTCTGTTGGAGCTGTTCAATCTCCTCATCTTTCCTTGCAATAGTATCTTTAAGTGATGCCACCTACAATTTCAACGACAGTAACAAACGAATCTTAGCATGCAAAACCTGTTTGGATTTGATCTCAGAAGCATGCTACGAACAGGATCATCGACCGCAAATACGAATAATACTGTGAGAAATAACCTGTTCCATCAAATCTCTGATATCTTTCCCTTCCTTTTGACTCTTTGCAGCACCCAGCTCCACCCCGGAAACCCTCTCAGCAAACTTTAAGGTACTCAGACTCTCGGAGAAAGACCCTGTATCGGGATTTATCTGTACAAACATCAGTGTCTTGGCGTGTCCACCTGCATTGCCAGGAGATGGAATTCCACTAAATGAAGCTCATGCTGAAGTGACTGACACAAACAAGCAATTGCTATCTGTAAACCATCACGAAGAATGCAGATCTTTACCCAAAGAACTTTGCAGTACTTGAGTTAGTTTGCTGTTTCTGTACGGCACATGAGCGGTCTTTTGCGACAGAGCAAATATGACATCTCCGAGAGCCGACAGAGATTTGTTGATGTGTTGCGCTTCCTTGAGCCTATCTCCGGTCACCTCGGAACGGTCAACTCTCTCACTTCCAGCAAGATCTACCAGATGAAGAGAGCCTCGCAAGGTGGTTCCAGTTTTCAGATCCGTTCCTCGAACATGAACTGTCAGAATGCTGTAATAGGAAGCTTATGTGTAAGAGCAGATGCAGCAATAAGGGACAGCATGTTTGCATGCAAAAGATATGAGATCAGAACCTGTGCGACCGGCTACTTCTTTCATTGAGAGTAGTGGCACTCACAGCCCTGTTTCCATGTCCTATCTGCATCAGGTCCAGCACATCAGAAGTAGCTTTGACAGGAAGCATACTCGCATCGGGGACGGCAAGCCCATTTGGCTGGGATGTAGTCAGAACTCCAAGCGTGCGCAAGTTAGAGGGCAAACAGTACCGGCAATCTCATGAACAAGATGATATGTCGTGCAATTTTGATTCTATAGAAAGAAAGAAAGAAAGAACAGGAAAAGAACCGTGCAGAAAAGGATATTTCTTCTGTGAGCTGCCATGTCCGAGCAGATCACGCACTTGCTCATTGTATATTTCAACCATCTGAACACCCACTTCATACAGATATGTGTCTCTCCTACTTAGAGATATCTGAAAGAGGTCGTTCAGAGCTCGATAATTGACACCCCATTCCTTCTCGGTTGCTGATTCCGGTCCAGTCTGAGCAAGACTTTCTCATCAGCAAAGTATGAAGATGAAATGTGGATTGTCGAAAGACAAAGCAAGCTCACCATGGTGTAGGTTTTTCCTGATCCAGTCTGACCATATGCAAAAATGCATACATTATAGCCATCAAGAACTGATCGAACTAAAGGCCGAGTGTCCAAGAAGACTTGCTCTGTTTACAGTACATCGAAAGAAAAGTCATGATTGGAACTGCAGGTTTCATGGTCAATGCATCAAATCAAACCACACATAGAGATTAGAACCTTGAGTGGCGGTTGAACCGAAGACCTTGTTGAACTTGAACATTCGCTGTCCATCTTTTCCGGGCTTGGAGGGATTCACAACAAGAAGCTCACCGTTCTCACCAATGTAATCTATGGTGGACTGTTTTCTATTCTCCCCAGGAAGGAATGGCCTTATCCGACAGTAAACTCTAATATTTCCTGTAAACAAAGCACTGGTGATCTGAGCCACAACGTAATCCAGTAACAAAGCCACCATATTGCACGAAGAGCTTAAAACCTTTTAGCTCCTGGACCTCGTTGTACAATCTCCTGTTTTCTGCGAGGACGGCATGGTAGTTCTCTACTGCGTCAGTCAGTACCTTCAGCTGTTGCCCTGCACACCATCTCAGGATTCATGTTGGGATGTAAATCATCGTCAGAATGTAGCATCTGTGGTACCATTCTTACCAAAGCTGTTCAATTCTTCGAACCATCTCTTTTGTGAAACCTTAACTTCTTTCTTGATGGAGTTGGAAGACGACCTCAATTCCTAAAAGACATCAACACAGAGTTCCGAGTATCATATGGAGGACAACCTAAGATATGATTAAGCATCGGAGTACCTGCACCGACTGCATTTGTAGATCTACGAAGCTTTGGAAAACATGTTCCTTTTGGTTCCAGTTCTGAAAATTGGATTCTGAATCTGTCTCTAGCTCCTGTATTCTCCTCTGCGATTCGGCCAAAACGGATTCGGCATCCTTTAGCTTCTCCTCCAATTCAATTTGGTATTCCTTTGCCTTTGTATCCATTTGCTGAAACTGATCTCCGTACGTCCTTTTTGTGGTTTCCAACTCTTGCTTAAGCTCTGAAATTATCTTGTCACTCTTTTCCTTCTCCTTGGCCAGCTTTTCAATTTGGTATTCCTTTGTT